TGCCGAAAAAATATACCCCTATTTTTTTTATTTTGAAATCAAAAAATATTTAGAGGTCGCTCAAAGCGCCTAAAGTTTTCCATGTATTTTATTTGGGAAAAAAACAACTTTTCGTAGAAATGAGATTCCCAGTAATAATACCCAATTGTTTATTTAACCATTTTTTCATTGCAACTATAATTTATAGCTCCGCCAAAAACCCCGAAAATGCAATGGGGCGACCAGTAAAAAATCGTTAGTATTACAAAATGGTTAAATAGACAATTGGGTATTATTATTGAAAGTCGCCAGAAGGGAATCAGAATCGAAAAATATTGACTTTCAAGAATTCTATACCATTTCTACGAACAAATTTATTTTTCGCCCTATAAAAATACATGGCAAACTTTGGGCGCTTTGAGCGACCTCTAAATATTTTTTAATTTCAAAATAAAAAATAGGGGTATACTTTATTTCGATGTAGAACAATCCTAGGCGGTGAGAGCATTGCAATTCCGATATTACTGTTTTCGGACCACCGTAATGTACTTGCATATATAGTAGTCTACATGTGAGTGGATTTAAAATTTCACATAAAGTCAGCCACGTGCATTCAAATTTATTGTGAACATAAAAGAAAGGAAAATTTTTGAATAATACATCAACACAATTCTGCATAAAATACACCACATTTCCTTTACAAATTGAGTCTGTCTGCTGTTTTTGTTGATTATGAATTCAGAGAGATAAATGATAATAATCAACGTGTTTTTCTATGCTTCATTTTCTTTTCAGACTATAGTGTGGCCTCCACGTTACCCAATCATATACGCGTTTTGCAGTGGAATATTTTATCGCAAAGTAAGTTCTAAACAGGATATTCAAATTGTCTACCAATTGTACACGAGTACATATACATACATATATGTGAGACAATACAGTATTCATGAAACCCAGATTTTCACTGCTCTTTTGCATCGTAAAATATGTATTTATGTATTTATTTACATACGTATATTTCGTTGTTTGTTATTTACATATGTTTTGGTTTTCTTTTTGTTTTTTTTTTTGTAGCATTGGGACAAAATAACGACGGCTTCGTGCGTTGTCCAGAAGAGGCACTGACATGGGAGAATCGAAAATTTCTCATCGTCCAAGAAATTCTACAGAACAATCC